TTGAATCCTTTGGCTTAATCAGAAGCAAAGCCGATCATTCTGTCTTTTACCGGCATAGCTCTTCTGGCCAGTGCGTTTATCTTCTGGTCTATGTTGATGACATTATCATTACAGGCAGTGATCAGACCGGGATTGATCAGTTGAAAGAGCATTTATTCAATCAATTTCAGACCAAAGATCTTGGCAGACTTCGATATTTCTTGGGGATCGAAGTTGCACAGTCTAGGCGGGGCATTTCCATCTGTCAGAGGAAGTATGCACTGGATATCCTAGATGAGACTGGCATGTTAGGCTGTAAACCCATTGATACACCTATGGACCCCAATGTTAAGTTATTACCAGGACAGGGGGAGCCACTGCCAGATCCTAGTCGCTACCGCCGACTAGTTGGAAAATTGAATTATCTTACTGTGACAAGGCCAGATATCTCCTTCGCAGTGAGTGTTGCAAGTCAATTTCTTGATTCTCCCTGTGACTCCCATTGGGATGCAGTTATTAGAATTCTCTGATATATTAAAAGGGCGCCAGGAAGAGGTTTATTATATACAAATAAAGGGAGTTCAGAGATCTCTAGTTATTCAGATGCTGACTGGGCAGGTTCTCCTTCAGATAGACGATCCACCTCAGGGTATTGTGTTCTTTTCGGAGGAAATTTGATCTCTTGGAAGAGTAAGAAGCAAACTGTGGTCGCCAGATCCAGTGCGGAGGCAGAATATCGGGCAATGGCAAATGCAACCTGTGAGCTCATCTGGCTGAGACAATTGTTGAAGGAACTCCATCTCTGTGAACAAAGGCCTATGAAGCTCATTTGTGACAACCAAGCCGCTTTGCATATATCCTCTAACCCAGTCTTTCATGAGAGGACCAAGCATATAGAAATTGACTGTCATTTTGTTAGAGAAAAGATCCAGTCAAAGGAGATCGAGACAGCATTTGTCAATTCCAATGATCAACTTGCGGATGTATTCACTAAAGCTCTTAGAGGTCCCCGAATAGATCATATTTGTAACAAGCTGGGAGCTTTTGATATATACGCACCAGCTTGAGGGGGAGTGTTAGAAATAATATTATTTTATTATTATTAGAATAGTCTAGAATAGTCTAGATTGTGGGCTTGGCTCATTAGGTCATCCCATTAGGTCTTTTAGTCTCTATAAATAGAGAGCCTCCTTGTACAAACTTACACACTTGAATATACAATATATTTCAGATTCAATTTTCCTTAAATATACAGAAAATCCGGATATTTTCTGGGTCAAAAGCTGCAGTTTCTTGTGTTCTCTGATTATCTGGTCTGGTTCTTATCAATTGGTATCAAAGCTCTCTAATCTAGGGGCTTTGAACCACACCATTCAAAAAAAAAAATGAGAAATCAATTTTATAAAATGAAGATTCCTATATTTTCTGGGGAAGAAGAAGCTTGGGGATTGTTGCTTCAAGTTGAGAGGTACTTCGAGGCAAAGGGAATTGCGGATACTAAAAAGCCATGGGAAGCTAGAAAGGATTCACCGGTCAAGCTCAAATCTGGTACCGATACTGGTATAATCCAAAAGTTAGCTTGTGGACATTTTTAAAAGCTTTCTTCAAGGAATTTCAACCGGAAGTTTGTTTGGTGGATGAAGAAAAATTCGAGCCTCAAAAACCAGAATTCGAACAGCAACAAAAATTTGTATGGGAGGAAGCGGAGATCACAGAAAAAGGTAGAAGAGGAGAAGAGAGTTGTCTTTAGGACAGAACTACTAGAAGATCTGAAGACTGACGCCATTAAAAAAATAAAAGAGGATGAGCAAGATGATAAGGGAGAAGATGTTGAGCATAAAGAGCCTATAAAAAGTAAAGAAGAAAGTGGAGTAGTAGAAGTGGAAAGGCAATCAGCAGCCATGGTTATAGACCCACTAGATCTATTTTTTCTTAAGAAGATGGAGGGCTTTGAACGGCACAACCATGAGGAAAGAAGGTGGTTGCGAACGCGTGAAGAAGGAGAGGAGGTGGAACAACCACCACCATTACCCAAACCTCCAGAAACGAGTATTCTTGTGAAGAAGCAGGCGAGTCCGCAGTGCAACAAGGAGGAGGTAAAGCGGCTGCGAATTGTGCTGAGAGAGGATAAAAAAATTAGGGTAAAGGGGGAATGAAGAAAATGGGCCGATCTATTGCACTAATGAATGGTCAGGCCCAACTATCTATCCACCTATTTCAAGTCCAAAACCTTAGCCTATCTGCTGTGAATTTTAGAGGAAATGCTGTTTGTGGGCTGATGATTCAAACTAACCAATGGTTACTAGGCCTCACAAATGTTTTTTTTTTTGGACAATTGGAATTGGGGGCTGCTGCATTTGCCTGACCCAATCATATTTTCAGTATTTGAATGGGCCTAAGGCCATCACCTTGATTGACCTAACCTGCCTTTTTAATCAGGGGGTCACCATAAATCTGAATAACCAAGACATTGTTGATGTGTTTCCTTGTCGTCTTCGCAAGGCTATAGACAACAACCACTGCAGCGAGAAGATAATCAAGGATGATGAGCTGACAAGTGAGGAGCGAAGAATCAGGGAAGCATTTGTCATCATTACCAGTCACGGTCATGGCAACAAAGGAACAAAGGAGTATGTGCTTTCCAGAACCGGTTTTACCCACTCCTCTAACGGGTCCAACTTCGAAAAGACAAACTTTCAACCCAAACGATTCTCTACTTTGTTATCCACTGTTATGGCCATGAATTATGCTACAAACATAAACAAAAGCACTATTGGAGCTGTCATGGAATTTCGACTGGCTGCAGAAGCTCATTTATACGCAAAAGTAGAAAAATCTGTCAAGAGAAAGACTGATCTTTGTTCATGTCGTAATGGGTAATGAAATGGGGATTGAAGCAGTGCAAAGGGATCCAGGTGGACATTATCATACTTTAGGCACATGTGGATTCCTACAACTCAAGGAGTGGGATCCTAGTGGACGCTCTTATATTTTAGAAATCTGTGGGCATATACTTTTCACACAGTGGGACCCCGGTAAATGATCATCACCTTGAGGACAAGGTAATTGTTAGGGGAGAGTATTGATACAATTCTAGTCAGCAAAGGTGTATAAAATAAGGAAAAGAAGGGGAATATTATCAGTTGAGAGAGGGTATTTTGTGTGGCTGACGTGGATAACAGAATTGGAGAGGCTGTTGAGGAAAGTCTGGTTGTTTAAATAGAGGAGGATGCATTGGTGTAGGGGGCATGGATATTGCTGGGACTTTTGGGCACCTCTTGGGTGAATTGGTAGAGACTAGAGGCTCTAGAATTCCTCTATGATTTTTTAGCTTCACTAGTTAGGATCAATCACTGTAATATGTCTCTTGTTTTCCATTTAGTATTTTCTTCTGTAAACAACATGGCTATATAGGATTGTTTTCAGGCAATTTCCATTATTGTTATCTTGTTCCTTAAATATACAGAAAATCCAGATATTTTCTGGGCCAAGAGCTGCAGTTTCTTGTGTTCTCTGATTATCTGGTTTGGTTCTTATCAGAACGTAAGCTATAGAATTATAGTGGGTTAAATCAAATTATGGAATGGATCGGGATTTTCCGTGTGATCATAAAAATTCCTCTTATTCTAAAAGGAAAATTTTATAGAATAATAAGGCCTGCAATGCTATACGGAGCTGAATGTTGGCCAACACAAAAACATGAGCATAAAATGAGAATAATAAAAATGGGGATGTTAAAGTGGATATGAAGTTATACAAGGATGGATAAGATAAGAAAGGAAGGTATTGAACAAAAATTTGGAGTAGTACCAATGGAAGAAAATATAAGAGAACCTTGGGATACACCACTCCAAAAGCTAGCTCAAAGGGTGGGAGTGCCCAAGGCCTTATAAACTCCACATTAGTTTCTCATACAACCAATGTGGGACTATATATCTCAACAATAACAAACAAGTATGGAAAGGATTTCAAAGCATTATAACTTGCAACAATAAAAAAGAAGTCTAAGAGAGCAACTAACTAAGTCAATATAAATAGTTGACAAAGCTCAAAGAAGCTCAAGATTCATGCTAGAATGGAAGAACCCAAGTCCAAGAGCCCACAAGTAGTATATTTTTAGGACTTAGGCTTAATCGTGAAGGTACTTGACAATTTGCATGAAAAAGCTCAAAAGATTTTCGAAACACATGCATTACATCAACATTTCGTGTTGAAATCTCACAAAACTATTTTGAACATCCCACGTTTATGAAAACATGTTCCAAGTGTCTATCAAACATTTATAAGTGATTGCAATCCATTTAAATCAAGAAACAATGCTTTTGGCTGAATTTCCAACCTTTTAATAGGGCTGGATCCCCCCTACACCAGAAAACAAAAATAACATCTATAAATGGATTAAAAAAACTATATTTCCCACCAAACGTATTTATAATAATGAATTACGGATTTCAACATAAACAATCATTGTTTCATTGATCAAAAGTTATTATTGATTGTTCTCCTCAAATCAAACACATTTATTTCTCATTCACACTCTTCTTGATCATAGATTGGCGTACAGTTTCTCTAAGAACGAAATGAAATAAAGTTATTAGCTTTGTGGAGGGATAGAATTTTTCTATATTTTTTTTTATTATTAATTTTCTTTAATATGTTCTTGCTTTTATATGAGCTCGTCAACTGCAAGATCCCAACTAGTTTGGGAGGATAAAGATAATGTTGATATTGTAAGTTTTTTGTCCTATTCTATATCGTCCTGTACACCAAAATGCCTTAATTGTATACAGAGACAGATGGTGTCAAATATCAGATCATAAAAGGTAAGTAATAGTTAGTAGTTCACAAACTACTTCAGCTTTCTAAACAGGAGATAATTTAGCAGAAATTTAAGTATGAAATATAAAATTCATAATAATATAGACAAGTAATTGACTAAAAAATCAGGGTTTAAAATTTCTCCTCATTCCACATAATTTTACAATAGCAGGTAGTTTAAGAACAGAAGTATGAAATCTTACCGGCAATATCAGCAATTTTTAATTTCTCACGCAAAAAGACCCTCGACATAATTGAAGCCATAATTGGAGTTGTTGAATTCAATAAAATAGCTTGAGAAAAAGGCAACCTCTGAAAGCTGAAAAAGAATAAATTTCTTTGTTACAGTAATAGGCAGTTCATGAAATCCTCAACAAGCATCCCTCCAAAATTGCCCAGAATAGCAGAAAATATCAAAACAACGTAAAGCACACCAAAAATAAAAGGTTGGGAAGTGATGAAGAGAGTTGCATGTAAACTCTAGTTTACTAAAGCAAATCATGGACAATGACACAATACAAACCAAGGTTTTAACTGAACATAATATGAAGAATACTACACGTGAAATAACTCTTGTCAACATGGAGTTCGATAACGTTAGGATACATTGATACAATATGAAGTATTCAACTGATTTTGTCTTTACATACTTATCAGTTACATGAAAATGCAATACAAATCCCTCTGCTAAAACCTTCATTGAATATTATACTAGCAACTAATGAAATTACTATTCAAACCAGAAAGCTTTATAAAATAAACTATCAACAGTGCAGAAAAATATAATATCCAATAATATCCTAAAACAAAGATAATTTACAAAAATACAAAGATAAAAAGTAAAGGGAAAAGGTGGAGAAATACCATCCTAAAATGACAAATGAAGTGCTGAAAAGAATGAAAATTAAGAGAAAAAACTCATACTACTTACCAATATACAAAACTTGACATCGATATACAGCCTGTAAGGGCCCTTAAAAGTAACATGGTTCTAACATGGGATGTTCCAAATAGTGGCTGTTCGCTCCTTCTCAACCACAAATATGACAGTATCAAGATAATTGTACATCTTCCAAAAGCAGTCTCGAACAAAGGAATTGCCTGAACTGCCAAATCAAAAATTTTATTGCAAAAATTAAAATTAGAAACAAATAAAAAAAAATGAAAATCAGAAAGAAAAAAAAAAAAGATAACTGTAGATCTTGAAAAAAAAATTCTCAAATTAACCAGACAGACCAATATATATAAAAATATATATATATAAATATTGGAAAACTTCAAAAATCTCCCTACAAGTTTTCTCAAAATCACTTATTCCCCTTCCCGAAATTTTTAATCATTACCCCCCCCCCCCCAATTTTAAAATTTCTTTATCACTTATCCCCCTAATTTGATTTTCCATCCAAAATTTTGTTAACAGAGTTAAATTTTTTAAAAAATACCAAAATTACCCTTAATAGAAAAAAGAAAAACATAATTTCCTCACAAACACAATTTTAGACGAACTCAGAGAATGTTTTTTTTAATGTAGCCTTGTTAGAATTAGTAATTATTAAAATTGTTTCCGGCAAATTCCATTGTTATTAAACACCGCACTCACAATCGTTGGTGCCATTGTTCAAATAAAATGATTAAAGAGGCATCATCTCAGCAGGTTTAGATCTTTCCTTTTCTGTTATAAGCGTTTATGCTATTATATGACTAACAAATCTGACTTTATAAATTTATTCAAAGCTGCCCTTTATTTTGCTTGCACAGCACCTGAAAAGCTTTACGTTCTGTGCTTCATATATGCCTTGTTTTTCTATTAATCATATGATATTACCAAGCAAACATGCAGAAGGTGTTATTTTGTTGTTTTCTGTGTCGTTGAGAGTAGAGAGAGGATTCAATTGTTGATTTACATTCATGTCTTGCTGACGTGAGTTTGTCTAAAACTGCGTTTGTGAGAAAATTATGTTTTTCTTTTTTCTATTAAGGGTAATTTTGGTACTTTTTAAAAAAATTAACTCTGTTAACAAAATTTTGGATGGAAAATCAAATTGGGGGGTAAGTGATAAAGAAATTTTAAGTAGGGGGATAAATGATTAAAAATTTCGGGGGGGGGGGGGGAGGAGGGGGGTTAAGTGATTTTGAGGAAACTTGTAGGGGGATTTTTGAAGTTTTCCCTATATATATATATATATATATATATATATATATATATATATACTCCATGTGTGACATCCGTTGTCTCCTTGACAGAATCCATAGAATATACTTAAAAGAAACGCACAAGCCACAAAGGAATAGAGACAGTAATCTTCAGAAAATGACTCACGCAGTTAATTCAGTGTTCACTCCAAGTGTGACATCCGTTGTCTCCTTGACAGAATCCATAGAATATACTTAAAAGAAACGCACAAGCCACAAAGGAATAGAGACAGTAATCTTCAAAAAATGACTCACGCAGTTAATTCAGTGTTCACGAACTGATGTATGACTGAGAATTTTGGCTTAAAACAAAATTAGATGGTTTCAAATATTGGGAAAATAAATCCATAAGGTGTGGGTTAGGGGTGGCAATTCTCAACACGACACGACTAACACGAAATTTTTGTGTTCATATAAACCCACAATCGTGTTCGTGTAAACCTAAAAGTGACCTAAAAAAGTTCTTGACATGTTCATGTTAGGGGTATGATAGGAATATACTCATGAAGGTGTATGTAAGGTGGGTTGTAGGGGACTATGTTCTACCAATGAGGTGGCATTACTAACTTTTGGAGGGAGAATAGAATATACTAGGATGTTAGGCTGGGTGTAAGATGAGAATGTGAAGTGTGTGGGGGTATCTTAGATATCTTGTGGAATTGAGACCCTTGGGAGAGTGTGAGGCCTCTCGAATTGCTTCACTCACTGTTATGTTCCTTCTGTCATTTTATTCTTTCTTTCATGTCATTTGGATTCCCATAATTTCCCTTTAGCAGTAGATCAATTTCCATCGGTTGTAATCGTTTTATTGTTAATACATATATCAGAAAGTCTGGGTTTCCAAGCCAAAATCTTGTGTTCTGTTATCTTTAATTGATTTTGGAGTTGGGTTCGTATCAAGGTATTAGCGTTCATGTTCACGTTGACCCAGAATTCAACATTACCATCAACATCAACATCAACAACACATTTATCCCAAACTAGTAGGTGTTGGTAGTAGATGAACCTAAATGAAAAGTACGAAAAGATTGAGAAAAAAAGATAAAAGTAATGTGTGTGTATATATATATATATATACATATATATATATATATATATACACATGTACATATATATATAAAACATTATCCATTAAAAAAATTAGCAACAAATAATTAAAAGGATAAATAAATTAAACATCACCTTTATCCCAAATTAATTGGGATCGGTGGTAGATGAACCCACATGAAAGATACAAAACGGTTGAAAAAGATAAAATAAAATAAAATAAAAATATATATATATGTATATATAAATAAATAAAAGTAAAAAAGAGAAGGACAAGAAGAAGTGGGGGAAATGAAGGGAAAATGACTAAAAAGGGACCATCTAGAACATAGGAATAACAACGGGTCTAACCCTCCACCATACTTATAGGTTTTCTCCATTCCGTTCTAAGACATACCGTCCGCCAATCTATATCTCACTCCATTAAACTTTGTTTTACTACCTTCCCCCAAGTAAGTTAAAATAAAATGAAAATAAAGATATATCAGAGGACAAAGAAGAATAAGAGAGTAAAAAAAAAGAAATAGAGGGATAAAAAAAAAAGAAAAAAGAGAGTAAAATAAAGAAAAAGAAAAATATATAAATAAATAAATAAATAAGAGAAAAAAGATTGAAAGGAAAAGAAAGGAATACAAGAGAAGAAGGAAAGAAATAAAAAAAAAAAAAAAGAGGAAGCTAAAGAAAGAAAGGGAGATAAAGAGGAAAAGGACTAAAAATTGATCATCTGAAACATAGGAAGAAAAACGGGTCTAACCCTCTACCATGCTAGTAGCTTTTCTTCATTCCGTTCTAAGACACACCGTCTGCCAATCTATATCCAACTTCATTAAGTCTTGTTTGACTGTCTTCCCTCAAATAAGTTTCGGTCTACCTCTTCCTCTCTTTGTGTCAAACTCTTGGTAACAAACTTTCGTTCTTACAGGAGCACCTATGGATCTTCTCATTACGTGCCCAAACCACCTCAATCTATATTCTCTCATCTTTTCAGCCACCGATACTACTCCTACATTTCGTCGAATATCTTTATTTGTTATCTTATCAACCCTTGTATGACCACACATCCACCTTAACATCCTCATTTCCGCTACTCTCATTTTATGCTCATGTTGTCATGTTGTCTATGACCGCCAACCTAAATTGCCACCCCTTATTCTTCTAGTCAAGATCCATATGGTTGGATTTATAAGGCTAAGAGATACTTGTGCATTAATCGGATTGTGGGTAACGAACAAATTTCAGCGACTTCAATTTGCCAACAAAGAAAAGGTCTTAATTGGTTTCAATGGGGGGAACCACGAAATTCTTTTCTCATCTGCGCTATTACATAGGTTTCACTTCTCAGCCTCTGGAATAAGGAAGGATCAGTGGCAGTGTATCGGGAGTGAGTGCTCTCAGCTTCACTCAGGCATGCCAACGATGATGGGTTGTTTTTAGAGATATAATTTAGTGTTATAATTGATAAAAACATAAGCTGAAAATTGCATTTTGTTTAGGAATGAATATTTCTTTAAGCTTAAAGTGTGCAGCAAGTTGTCATGTGAATAAAAATAGCATTTGAATGTCTTTTATGGGTTTAAAATACTAAAGCGATTCTTTTTGTGTTTGCAGGTTTTGAACAATACAAAGAGGAAAGCAAGGAAGTGCGAAAAGGTAGAAAGAGAAAAAAAAAAGGTTGTTTCCTGGATTCGAACCTATGACCTTTCAATCATGAAAAAACAGTTTTACCACTGCTCCGGTTCGCCCCTTTTGGTAGAAAGAGAAGATAGGTAATAAATCACATTGTGGGGAGTGGGGACCACAATTAGGGGTGGCAAAAATGAGCCAGCCCGTCGGGTTGGCTCGTAACCCGCACAAAACGAGCCGGGTTGGGTTGGCAAAAATGAGCTGCCAGCTCGATTTAGCTCGACCCGAGCCAACCCGAGCTCAAACGAGCCAGCTCGCGGGTTGAACGAGCCAGCTCGCGGGTTACTCTTTTTTTTTATTAATAAAATACAATAAAAAAAGTCACACTCAGACACTCTCACTCTCACTTTCACTCACCGCCGCTCACTACCAGCAGACAACAGTCACCCCACCCCAGGTCCCCCACCCCACCCACATCGACGGGCGACGGCGGGCGACAACATCCTCTCTTCCGCAACTTTAAGGTTTTTTTTTCCCTTTCTTCTTGTCTTACTGATCTTGCATTTTGTTAATTTTTTTTTTCCATTTTTATTCCAGATCTTGGCAGTCAGTCAGCCACCGTGCTCCTCCTCTCCACCGACCGTCACCTCTGTGTTTTCAGGTTTCTTTTTTTTTTCTTCTTAGTCTTAATCTTCAAATCTTCCCCTTTTTTTTTCTTTTGGGGGTGATAAAATCTTAAAAACAAAAGAATAAATAAAAATAAAATAAAAATGATGTTCTTCTTCATCCCGCAACTCGATCTTAAGGGGAGTCGACCTTGCATGTCAAACACTGCTGTTCAACCTCTCTCAAAATTGTATTATGCAAAAGTGTTCGATCTCTGTTATGCAAAAGTGTTCGATCTCTGTTTTGTTGCTCTGAAAATGTCCTTAATTTGCTACAGAAATCAAAGTAGCTAAGCTGCTTATATTTAGTGTTTTAGTCTATGTTGTTTACGTTTAGTGTTTTAGTTTCATGTGTACACAATTAGATTCTAAATTCTTTTGTGATTAAAATTGCACTGAACTAATCCATAATTTACCTAATAGAAAAATCTGAGACCCCTATGCATTAGTTTTGACAATACTTTATTGTAAATCAACCACCATCCATCACCAAACTTCCTTGCATTTCTGGATTCGGCGCAACAGTTTAATAATTTAGATCAGCTATTTACATTTCATATTATTGTTTTGTTTGGTTT